AGCCAAGATCATGCTACTGCACTGCAACTTGGGTGACAAGAGTTAGACTCCGTCTCAAAAAAAAAAAAATCTTTTAAATTAGCTAGATGTAGTGTGCTTTGTGCCTGTAGTTCCAGCTACTCAGGAGGCTGAGTGGGAGGGTTGCTTGAGCCCAGGATCGCTGCAGGCTGCAGTGAGCCATGATGGCACCACTGCACTCCAGCCTGGACAACAGAGCAAGACCCTATCTCCAAAGGAAAAAAAAGTGGTATAACTGCACTGGAGATTTCTGTAAGTCAGTATCATAGAAAGACATTGTGATTTGTACATACTTGCTTGCTTGTGGTTTTAATTTTTCCTTTTATTTTTGGTTTATGTGTTTTTCCTGTTTGGAATACGAAAGTGATAAGGAGGTAGAAAGCATCTCCTTTCCAGATTATCCCTGGTCTGTAAGTTAATTATCTTGGCAACTGCTTCAGAACTAAACTAGTCAACCCTCAGGGAAAATAAAGCAGGTAGCTAAAAAATTGGCCACTGTGTGAACCTGCGTTCTAGCACCTTAGCAAACTAAGGCATATTTGCTTAGTTTCCCCAGAATGTATTTTTTTGAAGTAGCAAGATCTTCCATTCACTGTCCCATGCCTGTCATTGCAGAAGGCCATAGGCTTGGGTCCAGCCATTTGTTGTCTCAGTGAACCAGGTTAAGTTCTGAAAAAGTCTCTGAGGCTCGTAAATTTTCTCTGTGAAAACTATCAGCATTCAGAGAAGTATCTGTGGACTCTTAACTGGAAGGACCCTGTGATGTGATTTTTGTCTACTTTTTATTTGGAAGAGGAAACAAAGCCCTAGAGATAAATGATTCTCTTGAGGTCACACCACTAATTAATGGCTGAGCTGGGATTGAAATGCAAGTGGTCTGATAACTACTATCTAGTGTTCTCTTAGCTCACACTGCATGCTATGCTTTGAATTGGTTGCTTTTCTTCTTATAAGGAGACCTCAAATCCCAACTGCCTGTTTGCCAACTGATGTCTCCTATCTCCATTGTTAGGACTGTAGGTCTCATCTGCCCCAACCTTCTTGTCCCCACTCAGGTGGATCGCATGTCCTTTCCATGTGGCTGCTCCCGGGATGGCTGTGGGAACATGGCAGGGCGCATTGAATTTAATCCAATCCGGGTCCGGACTCATTACCTCCACACCATTATGAAGCTGGAGCTGGAGAGCAAGCGGCAGGTGAGCCGCCCAGCAGCCCCAGATGAGGAGCCCTCCCCCACTGCCAGTTGCAGCCTGACAGGAGCACAGGGCTCTGAGACCCAGGACTTCCAGGAGTTCATTGCTGAGAATGAGACAGCAGTGATGCACCTGCAGAGTGCAGAGGAACTGGAGCGGCTCAAGGCAGAAGAAGATTCCAGCGGCTCTAGTGCCACCCTGGACTCGAGCATTGAGAGCCTGGGTGTGTGCATCCTGGAGGAGCCCCTGGCTGTCCCCGAAGAGCTGTGCCCAGGCCTTACAGCCCCCATTCTCATCCAGGCTCAGCTGCCCCCAGGCTCCTCTGTCCTGTGTTTTACCGAGAACTCAGACCACCCAACTGCCTCAGCGGTGAACAGCCCATCCTACTTGAACAGTGGGCCCCTGGTCTATTATCAAGTGGAGCAGAGGCCAGTCTTGGGAGTGAAAGGAGAGCCTGGTACAGAAGAAGGCTCAGCCTCTTTCCCAAAGGAGAAGGATCTGAATGTCTTCTCTCTCCCTGTTACCTCACTGGTGGCTTGTAGCTCCACAGACCCAACTGCCCTCTGTAAATCAGAGGTGGGGAAAACGCCCACCCTAGAAGCGCTATTGCCCGAAGATTGTAACCCTGAGGAGCCTGAAAGTGAAGACTTCCGCCCTTCCTGGTCCCCCTCAAGCCTCCCCTTCCGCACGGACAATGAAGAGGGCTGTGGGGTGGTGAAGACCTCCCAGCAGAATGAGGATCGGCCCCCTGAAGATTCTTCCTTAGAACTCCCTCTGGCAGTGTGATAGGGGCTAGAGGTCCTGCCTCTTACCCATTCTCTATTTATTCCCTTATTTTATCTAACACCATTTCAAAACAAAACTGTAGAAGCAGCTGCTGCTCCCATGTTATTTTATTGGGGTCTTTGGGGAATGGGTGGGAAAGGATTGTTTGAGTATTTTTTAAAAGGGAAACAGTACCAAGGAGACCAGCCTCAGCTTGATCTGGGGATCCTGGGGCAGAGAAAGCTGCATAGTGCTGAACACTGAGCTTTCTGGGCCACTGGAACAAAGAACTAGGATCTCACAGGAGAAGCTGGGTAACTCAAGCAGCTAGTCTTTCTGTAGGGACCAGAATACGAGAATTTGAAGAACATGGCAAAGCTCCTTCTCTCCCAAGCCCCAGGCAGAGTACAAGCTCATTTTTCTCGGTGGCTATTCTGATACCCCATTTTGGTGTGTCATAATACTTCAGACTAGAAAGTCAGCTGGTCGAGTCTCGGGAGGAGGGAGTGGAAGGGTCTCTGCTTCTGTACAAAATCTCCAGGATTTACAAAAATTTAACCTGCCTTCCTTCAATCCCCTATTTGGTAAACAGGTTAATATTTGACATGTTTGGTGTTCTCCGACCTGTTCCCCACACTGGGGATTCCTGGTCTGTAACTTGAATTGTTTCTTCCACATGTTCTTAAGTACTAGAGTTAAACTTGTCTATGTCTTTTTTTCCCTCCATCCTTTTTCCTTTGGAGAAAAAGAGCTGGATTGGCTGGGGATGTGCTATAAAGAGCCTGAGCCTTCTGTACGTATCTGATGCTAGCACTGTCAGGCAGCTTTCGGCTGGGGCTCACCCATCCCACAGGAGGCCTATGTGGAGCATTAACTGGCCAAAGGAGGCAGCGGGAACAGGCTGCTTGCTATTTGGAAAGATGACATATTTGTGCTGTGCTTGTTTTTTCACCCAGGTTTTTCCCTCTTTGTGAGATCTGAGCTTTAGTGGAATGTAGGATGTGGCAATCTTAAGGTCACCAACCAGTTTTTGTTCTTTTTTTTCCTGTATCTACCCTCATGGTTGTTTTCAACATACCAGGTTAGAGAGTTCTTACACTGTTCTAGTTCACGTCCAAGAATCGCAAATGTTTATTGGACCCCTCCATCTTGATGATGTATAAAAATTGGAAGCCACGCCAGTTCTCAAATGCCACATGCAATTCCCAGATTCCAAAGGATTCAAGTTCTAATTATAACCTTTGAAGCATATAGAATGGAACTCATTCAGTTTGATTCAGTTCTTACCTCTGAATCAAATACATCAGGGGGAATATGGTTCCTGTTCATCCTATGTTCTAAGATCTCCATTGAACAGCACTGATTTCCTTTTATTAGCAATCTTTGCCTCTGTTCTAAAATGGAGGCAGTAGGGAGCAAAACTATTCTTCTCAAGCATCCTTTACACCATACATTACTTCTGGTATGGTTTATTAACCACACACACACACACACACACACGAGTGAAAAACTGTGTTGGGGGGAGACACTACTTATCTTCCTCATAAAGCCTTTTCTGTGGGATACTAAGGCCTTGGTGTCTTACAGAAACCATGTATGTCGCAGAAGCATTTCACCCCTGAAGTCTCTAAACTCTGAGCCTGAAAGGATTTGTATTTAATACACATACATTGTTAGTTCATTCTGCCTCTCCTATTTGTTCCAGTGTCTGCTTGGTTTTAGTTTGGAGGGGAACTTAAGTACATAAATCCTTATCTCTCCCCATCCCCTAGCCTCACGAGTTGAGAGTCTTAAGTACCTGAGATCTCGAAGCTATCCAGAACTGAACTAGACTCCCCTACCTTAGACTGGTACCTGCAAACACAGGACTGAAGCTTAATTGGGAATTTGGCTTTATGGAGAAAAGAATCTTTTTCAAAGTTTGTGTCAGAAGGGGAGGGTGAGGTCTGCACATTGCCTCTGCAGGAAGGCTCCAGCTTAATCTAGGAAGTAGATTCCAGCTGCACAGTGAGGAACACGTTAGCTTTTGGGATCAAACCAGGAATATGAATCTGTAATTATTAAGCTCATTGCCAACCCATAAGATAATTGATGTTTCTGAAAACCTGTCGTTTCTTAATCTAAGTCCATCCCCTTCATTAACTCTACAGTTGTGATTCACACTGATCCCAAACTTTTGAGTGCTAAACATTAACATTTAGCATTAACTGTCTTGTCAAGCAAAAGGCCTTCTCTACAACCTAGTCCATCTCACTTCTGGTGCTACCTGAGTTGGACGGAATTCTAGCTCATGGTTGCTAGGAAAGCTAGGCCTCTGATCACAGAAGCAGACAGCTTCAGCCCCAGTCTAGGCCTAGATAAATGACTCTTCTCACCACAACTCCTACTATTTTCCAATTTCCTTTCTCACATACTGTACACAGGTAGTATTTTCAATGTGAATCCAAAGCTTGTCTGGTTCTCTGAAAATAATTTTCTCCCCTTTAGGTTCTTTACATTGTGATAATGCTGTATTTAAAGAGAATATTTAAATGTAATATTAAAGAAATATTCAAAAGAATGGTGTGTTGCTCTTTGTCTCGGCAGGCCACAATTCAGTTACTTGTTAGAAAAAGGATGCTTCTCCAGCTTCGTTATAAAACTAATTAGGTCAGTTAGGAATTAATGTTAACAATAGAAACATTTTGTGATGGAAAAATAGAATATTCTCTTTGGACTACCAAGAGCTGGATTGGTCATATGCCCTTGTGTACCTGTTCAGCTGAAGCAGGCCTTGCTTGTGTCTGTTGGAGCTTTGCCCTGTCCCTACTCTAGGCTCCCATTTTCTCATTCCATTAACTATATGAAATTCTCTTTTCCTTGTTATCATCTTAAAGTGTCCAGCAAGGAGATCAACTTCAAATCAGTTTCGGCAAAACTTCCATCCCATCAGAAGGTTTTATTCCAACCAATTAAATCCCCACTTGTTAGGTTATGTCAGTCTTGTAAAAGGAGACTCAGCAAAATGATTAGAGTATGCATAAGTCATTTCCATCAGCAGGTTTCAAGCAGTCTTTACTTGGGTTTAAAAACAGTGCTTCATGCATTTACAGTACGTTATTACAGAACTATAAGTCACTGATGCACACACAAAAGCTAAACCCAACTTACTAACTCGATGCAGACCTCTCCTGATCTCCCCAGGCTGGGCAGTAATTAGTACCTTACAGGTGTGATCCATGGCCCAAAGAAGGCAGCCACTGTCAGTTACAGTTGGATTGCTGCATCACAGTGGAGGCAGCAAAGCGCTGAAGATCCACAGGGGGTGTAATACAGCCCGGAAAAGACAATGGAGAGTGAAGGCTAGAAACATTGAGGAAGGGGTCAAGAACCACTTGTACTTCCTGTTATCTTTTCCAATAGAATATTCCTGCAAGTTAACCATCAAAAAAAGGTCAAGGTGTTCAAAGGGTTTGAAAAACAAGTGGTTAGCCTATGCCAGTGAGGGGGACAAAAAACAACTGGATTTTTGGTCATATCAGAAAGGACGGAGGGAAACACTGAAGTACATGCATGGACACGAGTGCTCTGGCCAAAGAAATGCTGTTCTCGCCAGCCACAAATTCTCTACCAGCAACAACAAAAACCCACAGATGTAAGTAACATGGAAGTGGATCAGTCCTTAGCCAAATAAGGATTCCCACTTGGGGCAAAAGTGGACTTCCTAGGACATGAACTGAACACATCACAGTAAAAGCCCAGTAAAGGCTGCTGCCAGTTCCAGCTATTAGTAATTATGAGGGGGACGGGATGACACCTCACATGGGCCACCCCTGGCAAGAGGGTTTGTTTCAGTTCTAGCTGTGAAGGGAATGTCTGCAGTTCCCACGTGTGCCATGCTGTGAAGCCCATGGCCCCTGCTCCTCTCTCTCCCTCCCACACACTTAACAATGCACACAGACTTCGCTGGCAAGTGTTGTTTGTTCCTGCACTGCTGTACTGTGCGACTGCAGGACAACGCCATCCGCTCCATGGTTCACTCAGCGCCTTGTCCCAAGGTAGTTGGTGGAGAGCAGGACCACGTTGTGCAGCAAGAGAGACAGCTCAGTTTCTGAAAACACCACAGTGTTAGTGGTTTGGCTTGGGAACACTCTGCCTTATAACTGCCTTGTTATATATGGCTTGAGCCTGGAGGCAGGAAGCCAAGTACAGGGAGGGGTGGAATGAAGAAGCTATTTTTCTCAAAGTTCCCCTTCTTTGTTTCAGCCCCTGCATGCATGCCTTCCTTTCCTTCTACTATATATTCATATCAACTCATCCTCTATTTCTCATGTGACTGCAGCAGAAACTTCAGAGATGGTAATGGTACTAAACACCAGTCACCTTGGGATTGTTCTAGTAGAAGTTGCTGCTCTACGGACATTTCTCAGCTTCAAGATTAGTAGGCCTACCCTAACATCCAAAGGCCCAGACCACATCAAGACCTACCCTAAACAAGGAGCCAATAAGCCTAATACATACCCTCATATGCTTTGTGTTTGGTCAGTAGACTGTTTTTGTTTTGAGTTTGAATGCCTTTAGACCAGTACTTCTCAACAGGGACAATCCTGCCTCTCTCCTCCCCACCCCCAGGACATTTGGCAATGTCTGGAGACATTTTTGGTTGTGACAGCTGTAGGTGAAGGGGTGCTACTGGCATCTAGTGGAGAGAGGCTAGAGATACTGCTATAATAAATACCTATAAGAACAGGATACGCCGGGCATGGTGGCTCACACCAGTAATCCCAACACTTTGGGAGGCCGAGGCCAGCAGATCACCTGAGGTCAGGAGTTTGAGACCAGCCTGACCAACATGGAGAAACCCAGTCTCTACTAAAAAAAAATACGAAATTAGCCGGGTGTGCTGGTGCATGCCTGTAATCCCAGCTACTTGGGAGGCTGAGACAGGAGAATCAATTGAACCCAGGAGGCGGAGGTTACAGTGAGCTGAGATTGCACCATTGCACTCCAGCCTGGGCAATAAGAGTAAAACTCTGTCTCAAAAAAAAAAAAAAAAAAAAAGCACAGGATATCCCCCCACAAGACAGTGCCAAGGTTGGAAAATTGATTCACACTAGCATGCATTCACGCTTATGTTCCCACATCCCCACTACTCTCTCTTGTCTTATGGCCTACTTCATTACCTGCCGGGCATGCAGCAGGCATGTGAGTCTGTGCCCTTTCAATCAGTATGTCTCACAGTACTCCATAATTAACTCCAAAATGACCTCAGAATTATAAAAGTGGCTTAGATTTTACTGGTATAACCACAGAAATGTGTTTTACCTTTCAGGCTGCAGGAAATCTGCAGCCATTCTCCCAGCCAAGTTCGACACCTATCTTCACCAATATGTGTAGAATTCAGGCCACGGAGATAACAAGCCTATACCGCTCAGAGGAGAAATGGTCTTTAATAATCAGAGTGATTATGCCAAGGAAATGGAAATCCACAAACAATCCTAAATCTCCTTTAAATAAGTTACAATCTCACTGGGCATGGTGGCTCATGTCTGTAATCCCAGCACTTTGGGAGGCTGAGGTAGGCAGATCACAAGGTCAGGAGTTTGAGACCAGCCTGGCCAATATGGTGAAACCCTGTCTCTACTAAAAAATACAAAAATTAGCCAGGCGTGGTGGTGCACACCTGTAGTCCCAGCTACTCGGGAGGCTGAGGCAGGAGAATCACTGCAACCTGGGAGGCGGAGGCTGCAGTGAGCCAAGGTCATGCCACTGCACTCCAGCCTGGGCAACAGAGCGACACTCTGTCTCAAAAAAAAAAAAAAGTTATAATCTTATTCCCACAAGAAGCCTTTCCTCATGGCAATTTGAAAACTAGTGATGGACAAGATGACAAGCAAAGAGTCCTATATAATCTAAAATAGTAGGTCTAAACTGCAGTATCCTTGCTTTCTGATGTGCTAGAAGAAATACAAATCAAAATTACTGTGGGCAATTCCTTCCCCCTAGCTAAGTTTATTGAGAAAAAAGACACAGAAATGAGATGAGAAGCTGGGTGCAGCGCCTCATGCCTGTAATCCCAACACTTTGAATGGCTAAGGCAGGAGGATCACTTGAGCCCAGGAGTTCAAGACCAGCCTGGGCAACACAGTGAGACAAAATAAAAAATAATTTTATTTGGTTTTTTGGGACTTTTTTGAGACAGAGTCTCACTCTGTCACCCAGTGCGATCTTGGCTCACTGCAATCCACCTCCTGGGTTCAAGCAATTCTCATGTCTCAGCCTCCCAAGTAGCTGGGATTACAGGCATGTGCCACCACTCCTGACTAATTAAAAAATAATTTTTAAAAAGGTCGGGCACAGTGGTTCACGGCTGTATTCCCAGCACTTTGGGAGGCCAAGATGGGAGGACTGCTTGAGGCTAGGAGTTCAAGACCAGCTTGGTCAACATAGCGAGACCCCATCTCTACTAAAAAATAAACAAACAGGTTGGGTGCAGTAGCTCATATCTGTAGTCTCAGCACTTTGGGTGGATGGATCACTTGAGGCCAGGGGTTTAAGACCAGTCTGGCAAACATGGTGAAACCATCTCTACTAAAAATACAAAAAAATAGCTGGGCGTGGTGGCACACACCACACCTGTAATCCAGCTACTTGGGAGGCTGAAGTGGGAGGATCACTTGAACCGGGAGGCAGAGGTTGCAGTGAGCCAAGACTGTGCCACTGTACTCTATCTAGCCTGGGCAACAGAATGAGACCCTGTCTCAAAATAAATAAATAAAAATCATAAATAGATAAATGAAGTGAGAGAATAAAGAAGTTGGGTTCCATGTAACAAACAAGACAAGGATCCCCTGTAAATCTCTGGCCTGCTGTAGGCTGGAAAGCACACCAAGGGTTGAGGGTTGATGTTGCAATCAAGCTCCTACCGATTTTACTTCCTGAGCAGTCAGCTGGCCAATCCCCAGCTTTGCCAAAGCCTTGTCCAGTTGGTGAATCACAGTTGTACGAGTCTTCAAACGATGTCTCAACAAGGGAGGAGGCAGGTAAGATGTGAGAAGCATGGCCCGGCTCAAGGCTTTCTGTAACACAACCACATAGGAGGGGAAAGGCAAATCGTATGAGCTCAAGCAAACATCTGAAACATGGTGATGCTATGGAAAAGAGAAGCCCTCAAAGTGCTCACCACGTGCAAAGCCTGGAGTTGGTTCACGCCCAGAGGATGGTTAGAGAAACACTCTCTCAAAGCCAAGATATCATGTATTGCTGGGTGGGTACCACGCTGTATCTTGGAAGAGGTAAGAGATTGGTAGATGTTAGGAAAGTCCTAACTACCCCCTCACCTAGTTTTAGTGCACACTGAATCTAACAAGATTCCACATTTGTAGGAAGGGTTAACTGCAGGAATACCTTGGTGCACAGATCTGTCAGATGCCACCGCAGTCCTGCATCAGAAATGAGAGGGATGACCTTTTCTAAATAACTAATAATTTCTGGGTGGGATTGCTTCCGGAAAGCATGATAGATATCTAAGAAATCAGTTTGTTGTTTTGGGGTCCAGAAATGCCTGATCAGTAGTTGCCTGGGAAACAGGTACCTGAAAGGAGAAAGAATCACAAACTCACTTGCTGAAACTGGCTTCTTTCAGAGGAAGCCAAAGAAAGCATTTGGTAGACATGAATACTAGGAAGAAGAGATGAAGACATTCTTTCCGTACCTCAGTGTTCTTTTTCTTTTTTTTTTTTTTAAGAGACAGGGTCCCCTGTCACCGAGGCTAGAGTGCAGTGGCATGATCACAGCTCACTGCAGACTCAATCTCCTAGACTAGGCAATCGTCCCACCACAGCCTACTGAGTAGCTGGGACCACAGGCACAGGCCACCATGCCCGGCTAAGTTTCTAATTTTTTTTGCAGAGACGAGGTCTTGCTATATTGCCCAGGGTGGTCTCGAACTCCTAGCCTCAAGCAGTCTTCCTGCCTCAGTCTCCCAAAATGCTGGGATTACTGGTGAGAGCCACCATAGTCAGTCCTTTTTCTTAAGAGATTCTCAGACCAAAGTTTATAAGATACACTGAAGCACAATTTCAAGCAACATTACTGAAATGTGATGTGAAAGGAAGGACTAGCAGAATAGCCTGCCATGCAGCAATCAGACATAATGACTCCTTTTGAACTAAAACATGTGAAGAGCATCCTTTGGACAGAGTTGTAGACTGACCTGGACACTGTATGTGATGTTGCCAATCTAACTATAGCACAGTCCTTATGTGGACACAGTATGTAAAAGGTAATTGATTTGTTGTTGTTGTTGTTGTTTTGAGACAAAGTCTCGCTCTGTCACCCAAGCTGGGCTGCAGTGGTGTGATCTCGGCTCACTGCAACCTCTGCCTCCTGAGTTCAAGCGATTCTACTGCCTCAGCCTCCCCAGTAGCTGGGATTACAAGCGTGTGCCACCAAGCACAGCTAATATTTTGTATTTTTAGTAGAGACGGGGTTTCACTGTGTTAGCCAGGAAGGTCTCAATCTCCTGACCTCATTATCTGCCCGCCTCAGCCTCCCAAAGTGCTGGGATTACAGGCGTGCACCTGGCCACGATTTGTTTTTTAATTCATTTATCTACATGTTTGGTGGTTTTAAAACATGACCTCAAATTCTCTGGCACTCATCTTATGGAGAGCTGAGGTCTACATCCTCCCCTTTTTTCATTCTAGGTGACTGATTCAATCAATAGGACAGAGCAGCAGTGAGTCTATGTGACTTTCAAGGCAAGGTTATAAAGTCATGTAGATTCTTACTCACTAGTAGAATCCCTCACTCTTGGAGCCCTGAGCTCCCAAGTTAGAAGTCCCACTATCCTGGCCAGGCGCGGTGGCTCAAGCCTGTAATCCCAGCACTTTGGGAGGCCGAGACGGGCGGATCACGAGGTCAGGAGATCGAGACCATCCTGGCTAACACGGTGAAACCCCATCTCTACTAAAAAGTACAAAAAAAAACTAGCCGGGCGAGGTGGCGGGCGCCTGTAGTCCCAGCTACTCCGGAGGCTGAGGCAGGAGAATGGCGTAAACCCGGGAGGAGGAGCTTGCGGTGAGCAGAGATCCGGCCACTGCACTCCAGCCTGGGTGACAGAGCCAGACTCCGTCTCAAAAAAAAAAAAAAAAAAAAAAGAAGTCCCACTATCCTGAGACTGCCATACTGAAGAAGCCACATCTGGGCACTCTGGTTCACAGTTCTAGCCATGTAGCCATCCCTGCCAGGGCACCAGACATAAGCGTGATCTTGGACCTTCCAGACTAGTCCATTCAGCAGCTAAATATCACTAAGGGACCTCTGTCAACCCTACATGGAAGAGAGAAATCAACCGCCCACCTGAGCACTGCCCTAATTCTGGACCTACAAAATCATGAAAATGATTTATACTATTGTTTTATGCTATTAAGCTTTGAGGTTATTTGTTATACAGCAATAGATAATGAATGACATGCAAGATCACAGTTTAGAAATGTCATTTTTGGATATGAAGTAATAAAAATATGTTATCAGAATACAAAATGTACTTTTTTTCCTAAAGAAATGAGTCTAAAAGTGCTCTCTCTCGGGGACTGAGTTGTTGCCTCTAGGGATGATGGAGAAGGTCACTATCTTATTTCACATGACTCAGGGCAGCTAAGAGATAGGGAGAGTCTAGGCCACCTACACTTCTAGATGTGATGTGTTTCAGTAACCAAGGTCTTCCTAAGTGGCTTTTATGAACCCTGGAATAATGAGAAGATTGGAGCAGAAGTTTGATAACCTCTACCTAGCTTCTGAAATGAAAAGTTCTGTTTAAAGTAATTATTAATTTTAAAAAATTGATACATCTTCAAGATGTTGGGGAGATGGAAGTCTATACTCACATTAGCAAGAAGACCAGGTAGTTGGCAAAAGGTGGAATGGAAATAATACCTAGGAAAAGACACTTGGTGACGTCTTGGCGGAACTAAGCAGAAATAAACACAGATGCAGTTTTAACCCAAATAAGTTAATACAATAGACAATCCCTCCACCCCACTGTACAGTAAACTTCTATTACAGCCCAGAAAAAGGACCAAATTTATTTCTTTTTCTTTTTGAGACGGAGTCTTGCTCTGACCCAGGCTGGAGGGCAGTGGTGTGATCCCAGCTCACTGCAACCTCTGCCTCCTGGGTTCAAGTGATCCTCCTGCCTCAGTCAGCTGAGTAGCTGGGATTATAGGCATGAGTACCATTCCAGGCTAACTTTTGTATTTTTAGTCGAGACAGTATTTCACCATGTTGGACAAGCTGGTATCAATCTCCTGACCTCCAGCGATCTGTCCGCCTTGGCCTCCCAAAGTGCTAGGATGACAGGCATGAGCCACTGCATGTGGTCCCCAACTTTATTTCTATTTACTTCTGGATAGTTAGTTCCTTGAGGACAAAAACCTCTGACTTATCTACTTTTGCATCCCAAATAATGTCTAGTACACAGCCTGACATTATACCAAATCCTTCAGTGAACTCTTCCCAATCTGCGGAATGGGTCCTAGATTCTTACTCTCAGCTTCAAAACAACCCATCAAGTCACCACCAAATACTACTTTCATGCTGCCCTTTGGATCTTTGCAGACTTTTTTTTTTTTTTTTTTTTTTTGAGATGGAGTTTTGCTCTTATCACCCAGGCTGGAGTACAGTGGCGCGATCTTTGCTCACTGCAACCTCCACCTCCCAGGTTCAAGCAATTCTTCTGCCTCAGCCTCCCGAGTAGCTGGGACTACAGATGCCCGCCACCATGCCCAGCTAATTTTTGTATTTTTAGTAGAGACGGAGTTTCACCATGTTGGCCAGGCTGGTCTCAAACTCCTGATCTCAGGTGATCTGCCCACCTCAGTCTCTCAAAATGCTGTGATTACAGGCGTGAGCCACCGTGTCTGACTGCCCTTGAGGACTTTTTTTTGTTGAGACAGAGTATTGCCCTGTCGCCCAGGCTAGAGTGCAATGGCGTGATCTTGGCTCACTGCAACCTCCGCCTCCAAAGTTCAAACAATTCTCCTGCCTCAGCCTCCCGAGTAGCTGGGATTACAGGCACCCACCACCACACCCAGCTAATTTTTGTACTTTTAGTAGAGACGGGGTTTCACCATGTTGGCCAGACTGGTCTTGAACTCCCGACCTCGTGATCTGCCTGCCTCAGCCTCCCAAAGTGCTGGGATTACAGGCGTTAGCCACCGCACCTGGCCCCCTTGCAGACTTTTATATGTTCAGAAACTAATTCGATTTTAGTGTTTAGAACTTTCATTCAGAAAGTGTGCCAGAAATTCTGTGGAGCTCTTGCTATGGAGGGCTACAACTCTGGATGAACCCAATTCTTACAAATGACCTGATGCCTCATTCAGTTCAGTATTTTGTTCTCATGGCAAAGGGTAAAAGCTTGATCAGTGGTGAACAACAAATGAAAGAAAAAACCTTGAGATCTTGATTAAATATAATTACCTCACCATGAACTTCTGGATATCTGCCCCTGGCCCATACCTGTCTCAAATGCTCCATCTCCCGGTATGGAAGTTGATGAAACTTTATATTGTGCTTCCACATATTTGTCTTTATTCTTCTAGCCTTTTTGGCATCAGCCCATAACATCTGCAATCCTGCCTCATTAAAGTAGAGGACAGAGTGTGATGTCATCCCAGTTTAAATCTTAACCACAGCTTCCTACTCCATGTTCAATCACATGCAAACACTCTCGCCCCTCCCCAACAATATTCAAAACTTTAAACTAGGTAACTTGAAACTCTTGAGGTCAACCTGAATCTCTTTTCTCAACCTTTTCTCCCCTAGCATATCGCCTCTCTTCTAGCTAAGTTTGGCTTCTATAATCTGCTATGGGATGGTCTCCCTCTTCTGTTTCATTGGTCACTCCTTTTGAAAAATCAAGCTCCCTAACTTCAGAAGATCTTGCTAAATCAACCCTACGTATTCCCCAGCCACCTTTCTGGAACTTTTTTCTTTCTTTTTTTTTTTTTGAGATGGAATCTCACTCTGTTGCCCAGGCTAGAGTACAGTGGTGCGATTTTGGCTCACTGCAACCTCCAACTCCCAGGTTTATGCAATTCTCCTGCCTCAGCTTCCCAAGTAGTTGGGATTACAGGTGTGTGCCACCACGCCTGGCTAATTTTTGCATTTTTAGTAGAGATGGGGTTTCACCATGTGGACAGGTTGGTCTCGAACTCCTGACCTCAAGCAATCCACCTGCCTTGGCCTCCCAAAGTGCAGGGATTACAGGTGTGAGTCACTGCGCCGGGCCTGGAACACCTTTTTTTTTTTTTTTTTGAGACGGAGTCTTGCTCTGTTGCCCAGGCTGGAGTGCAGTGGTGCAATCTCGGCTCACTGCAACCTCCACCTCCTGAGTTCAAGCAATTCCCCTGCCTCAGTCTCCCGAGTAGCAGGGATTATAGGTGCCCGTCACCATACCTGGCTAATTTTTGCATTTTTAGTAGAGATAGGGTTTCACCATGTTGGCCAGGATGGTCTCAAACTCCTGACCTCATGATCTGCCTGCCTTGGCCTCCCAAAGTGCTGGGATTACAGGCGTGAGCCACCGTGCCCAGCCTGGAACACTTTTAAAAGTAGTTTAGTTCAATATATTTCTATGATTACATTTTAAATCTTCATTCTATGAAAATTCTTGCATCTTTTTTTTTTTTCTTTGAGATGAAGTTTCGCTCTTGTTGCCCAGGCTGGAGTGCAATGGCATGATCTCAGCTCAGCGCAACCTCTGCCTCCCAGGTTCAAGTGATTCTTCTGCCTCAGCCTCCCTAGTAGCTGGGATTACAGGCATGTGCCACCACGCCCAGCTAATTTTGTATTTTTAGTAGAGATGGGGTTTCTCCATGTTGGTCAGGCTGGTCTCGAACTCCCGACCTCAGGTGATCTGCCCGCCTCGACCTCCCAACGTGCTGGGATTACAGGCATGAGCCACCGCGCCCGGCCTCTTGCATCTATTTTTTAAATGCTTTCATATTTATCAATGATTTACATGTCATTATATGATATATCGATTGTCTTCAAAATAATACATAAGGCAAGTACATAAATGAAGATTGGCAGCCATGAGTTATGATAATGAAGTGAGGTGAATACATGGAAGTTCGTTACACTATTCTCACTACCTTTGTGTATGTCTAAAAATTTCCATAATAGTTGGCCGGCGCGGTGGCTCACGCCTGTAATCCCAGCACTTCAGGAGGCCAAGGCAGGCAGATCACGCAGTCAGGAGTTTGAGACCAGACTGGCCAATATGATAAAACCCCATCTCTACTAAAAATACAAAAATTAGCCAGGTGTGGTGGCAGGTGCCTGTATTCCCAGCTTGGGAGGCTGGGAATACTTGGGAGGCTGAGGCAGGAGAATTGCTTGAACCTGGGAGGCAGAGGTTGCAGTGAACCGAGATCATGCCATTGCACTCCAGCCTGGGTGACAGGGTGAGACTCTCAAAAAAAAGATAAAATAAAAATAAAAGGTTTAAAAACAAACACAAATGCTTTCATCCCTTTTTCTCATTTGATCCTATTTATCTACACGAGAACAGAAAAAGCAGCCAATTTTATCTCTACTTTACAGATGAAGGATAAGTAATTTTTCAAGTCCATGAAGCTAGTAATAATTATGATAATGTTCAGATTTGGCAATGTAGTTTATTATAGTGTTATGATAAAAGCATAGAGCATACTATAGGTTTGGTGCAAAAGCAATTGTAGTTTTTGCCACTGAAAGACAAAAGCCTCAATTATTTTGCACCAATCTATAATATTGTTACCTAACATTTAGATGAAAATAACCTAACATTTATTTGGCACTTACTAGGGATCAGGACCTGTTCTACATACTTTACATGTATCAATTTTTAAAATCTTCACAACCATGTGATAAATAGGTAGGTTCCATTACTCCCATTTTTCACATAAGAAAACCAAGAGATTAATTAATTAGTCCAATCACACAGTGATGAGCGGGGATTTGAATCAGGCAATCTGGCTCCAGAGTAGACACTTGACACGATACATATTATCTCCTAGTAACTAAGGATCTCTGATTTGAACCAAAACATTTGGAAACCAAGTATTATGAAGTGCTACTGCCGCTACAACATACTACCTAATATAGATTCGTAACAAGGGTTAGACCTCATTTTCCTATGGGGTAAGTCAACTGATAAATCACAGGGCAGGTCTGTACAGCCACAGATCCCTGCCCTGTGCAGGACAAAAATTTTTTACCATAGCCAGGTGTGTGGTTAAGAAAGTACGAGAACATACCTATATTCTCCCTCCCTCATGTTGCTATCATAAGTTGTTTCTCGTAACATCTTTCTAGAAACATTTTCAAGAAGTGTTAATTTATAAGAATTAGCTTAAGGCGCAGTCATTTATGAAATATAAGATATCTCGGCTCACATCCCCATAGCAGAACCTGCAAATGATCTTATTCATGCTAACTCTTTGACCCTGCCCAAGAGCTGATTCAGGAATTTCTATGTAGTTTCGTTTTTACCTTTCATGAAGATTGTGTACAGGACATAGAAGCGGGGGAAATGACGACCCAAGAAACGATGGTATTTCCCATTAATTGCTTTTGTCTTGGTTACCACGTAAGACATCAAGTTCTTCACATCTGCCTTTGGAGAAAGGTGAAGCTTTGAAGACCTACAAGGAAGATCAAAAAGACTATCTGGGAACCAGTCCTAGAAGCTCCCTCACGCCTTGAGTCCCTAATGTAAAGCAGGAGTCTCGGAGAATGTATCCCAAGCTTGACACTTCTGAAATCCAAGGACGGTCTTGGGGTCAAGAAGAGATAGGCATTCAGACTGTGAAACACAAATCAGCCAAAGGCCAGGCAGGAAACGAACTCAGGGCATGACTCTGGAGAGAATGTAATGCCTGTGGGACAATTTGAACTGCACGCTAAGTCAGAGAGAGGTGGAATCAAGATAGTAGCGGCAAAACCTGAGCCGAAAAAGTGAGGCTGAAAGATGAGCTCAGGACACGCGGGGAGAGCAGACAATATAGGGCACTGAGAGTAGAGAGGGTCAGGAAGCCAGGTCACTAGTGGGGATTGGAGTTTGAATCCTGAGCAGAAGAATAAAAATTCCTGGGCCAAGGCGTGGAACTCTGAGAATTGAGAGACAGAATGCAAGCAAGGTTGAGACACTGAAACAACCTGAACGTCAAAAATGCTTTTCTTGCTACAGGACCCTCACCGAGGGGCCCCCCAAGCCAGGCCAGAGCGACCAAGTTGCAGCCTCCGGGTGAAAAAATGTCCAGGGGTGACTGCCGAGCCCCACACAGCCGACCGAGCCCAGCACACCCTGGAGAGCGCCATCTTCACAGCAATGGAAGCGGGAGAGAAGAGGTTGTCTTTGGGTCAAAGTTAACTGTACGCCGCGTTCGTTCAAAGACGCATGCGTCTTTTCTGAGCGCTGATTGGTAGCCACAGCCTGCTTAGCTCCAGCACAAGCCAGGAAAGGGAAGGACTCAAAGACTAAGTGCGGAAGGAGGGTCAGGATTGGACACAGCAGTACTTCCCGGTTTAAAGGCGCCGGAAACAGGGTGTCCCAAAGGGAGAGTGTTCTTAGGCCACTGGTGTGGGTTTGCGTTGCGGAGGATACGGAGGATACCCTCTCCTTGAAGGGCCCGGTGACCCTCCGCTATTCCCTAGGGCCTCACGGCTTCCCAGCGCCGCCCTTGTCTTCTGCCTAGACTCGGGGCGTCTGTGCCTCGACTGTTAGGTACCAGATTTCAGTTTGCCAGTGCCTAGGCCATGGCGCCTCCTGGTGGCTTGGAGGACCCGCGGCACGCTCTAATGGTAGCGGCGTGGATAGGCCGGAACTGTCCACTTTCCAGTCACAGTCTGGTGGCGAAGGTTGGAGGCTTGGGAGCGGCCACTGTGCGGACTAAGTACACTTTTTCCTTTATTTGTCGTTTCCAGAACTAAGTTTGTGGGAAAATGGTTTTCGTTAAGCACCTACCGAAGACCAAGCTCTGTCTCAAATGTTACTTTTCTGAGAGGATTTCTGTGATCACCCAATCTGACATAGTGCCGGCAAAAAGGACACGTTTCACACTTATCCTCATGTTACTCTTTTTTGTTTCGTTTTGTGTTTTTGAGACGGAGTTTTGCTCTGTTGCCCAGGCTGGAGTGCAGTGGCGCGATCTCGGCTCACTGCTGCCTCCGCCTCCCGGGTTGAAGCGATTCTCCCACCTCAGCCTCCCGTGTATCTGGGATTACAGGCACGTGGCACCACGCATGGCTAATTTTTGTATTTTTAGTAGAGACGGGGTCTTACTATGTTGGTCAGGCTGGGCTTGAACTCCTGGCCTCAAGTAATCCGCCAACCTTGGCCTCCCAAAGTACTGGGATTACAGGCGTGAGCCACTGCACCCGGCCTTGTATTTTCTTTATAGCATCTATCACTTACAGTGTTTATATATTTGTGTCCTTGTTTGACAGCTCCCTGAACTAGAATGAGGGTATCGTCTCTGCCTTGTTCCTTGCTGCACCTCCAACACTAGGTGCCATACTTAGCACATAGTAAGTGCTCAGTAAAGATGTTTGACTAAATTAATACTTGAAACTAGGAAGGATTCCCAGAAGTGGTAGGTAACTGCCTCCAAGAGTTAACAGTCCTCCTGGATATATATGAATATTTATTCTTCATGGAAGGTGGTAGAGTATCCCATGTGGGTTCCCTGGTTATAGGTTCAATCTTGGCATTGACATTTGTTTTAGTGAATGTTACCTTGGATATGTCACTTTAGCTCTGAGTTTATTTCCCTTATAATAGTACCTATTTTGTAAGACTTCTGTGAGGATCCAAAGATAATACAGCTGTGAAAGCTCCTACATATGTATACTGCTTTATGGGTCACAGAGCTTTATATTAGCACAGGTTATTAATGACTGTACCACTTGTGCAGTCAGAGGAAAAGTTTTAAAAGATGGCCCTGAATCTTCACAAGAGTTGGGTAGATGGGGTGGACGGGATAGAAAGTTGACTATCTTTCTATCTATTACAGCTGTGGCTCACGCCTGTAATCCCAGCACTTTGGGAGGCCGAAGCTGGTGGATCACCCAAGGTCAGGAGTTCAAGACCAGCCTGGGTAATATGGTGAAACCTCGTCTCTACTAAGAATACAAAAATTAGCCAGGTGTGGTGGTGGGCGCCTGTAATCCCAGCTACTTGGGAGGCTGAGGCAGGAGAATTGCTTTAACCTTGGAGGCGGAGGTTGAGGTGAGCCAAGATCATACCACTGCACTCCAGCCTGGGCGACAGAGTGAGACTCTCCCCCCCAAAAAAGTTAACTAATTAACTAGCACATGGTCTCCGTATTCAGGTAGTGTTTTTTTGTTTGTTTGTTTGTTTTAAAACAGAGTCTTACTCTGTCGCCCAGGCTCAAGTACAGTGGCTCAGTTTCAGCTCACTGCAACCTCCATCTCCCGGATTCAAGTGGTTCTCCTGCCTCAGCCTCCCAAGTAGCTGGGTTTACAGGCACCCACCACCGTGCCCAGACAACTTTTGTATTTTTTTTTTTTTGAGACGGAGTCTTGCTCTGTTGCCCAGGCTGAAGTGCAGTGGCGTAATCTTGGCTCACTGCAACCTCCACCTCCCGGGTTCACGCCATTCTCCTGCCTCAGTCTCTGGAGTAGCTGGGACTACAGGTGCCTGCCACCACGCCTGGCTAATTTTTTGTATTTTTAGTAGAAATGGGGTTTCACCATGTTAGCCAGGATGGTCTTGATCTCCTGACCTTGTGATCTGCCTGCCTCAGCCTCCCAAAGTGCTGAGATTACAGGTGTGAGCCACCACGTCCAGCCCAAGTTTTGTATTCTTAGTAGAGACGGGGTTTTACCATGTTGGCCACGCTGGTCTCAAACTCCTGACCTCAGGTGATCTGCCCACCTCAGCCTCGCAAAGTGCTGGAATTACAGGTGTGAGCCACCGTGCCCAGCCATCTTCAGGTAGCTTCTGAGTCATGTCAACTACTCAAGAATGTTCAGCTCTGCCGGGCGCGGTGGCTCAAGCCTGTAATCCCAGCACTTTGGGAGGCTGAGACGGGCGGATCACGAGGTCAGGAGATCGAGACCATCCTGTCTAACACAGTGAAACCCCGTCTCTACTAAAAAATACAAAAAACTAGCCGGGCGAGGTGGTGGGCGCCTGTTGTCCCAGCTACTCGGGAGTCTGAGGCAGGAGAATCACTTGAACCCGGGAGGTGGAGCTTGCAGTGAGCTGAGATCCGGCCACTGCACTCCAGCCTGGGCGACAGAGCGAGACTCCGTCTCAAAAAAAAAAAAAAAAAAAAGAATGTTCAGCTCTAAAATTCTGAAACTCTCTTGGAAAGAAGGAGACAAAATCAGAGTTTTGTGGATAAAATAGGAAGGAACTGTGTCTGAAAGGGTGGAGTAGAGGGGAAGGCATTTCATTCAATGAAAGAATGTGGCAGGAACACAAGTCATTCCTCTAACTAACTAACTTCCCTCCCTCCCTCCCTCCCTCCCTTCTTCCTCCCTCCTTCCCTCCCTGTCTTTTTCTTTCTTTCTTTCCTTTCTTCTTTCTCAGGGTCTTGCTGTGTCGCCCAGGCTGGAGTGCAGTGGCCCCATCATGGCTCACTGCAGCCTTGATCTCCTGGGCTCAAGTGGTCCTCTCAACTCAGCCTCCCAAGGAGCTGGGATTACAGGCGCATGCCACCACACCCAGCTAATTTTTGTATTTTTAGTAGAGACAGAGATTGCCATGTTAGCCAGGCTGATCTTGAACTCCTGGACTCAAGCAATTCACTTGCCTTGATCTCCTAAAGTGCTGGGATTACAGACGTGAGCCACTGCACCCAGCCCTTTCCTGAGATGTTTATTTAGTGTTTAGTCCACTTCCCCCTTTGCCCCTGTACACACACGCGCGCGCACACACACACACGCGCACGCGTTTCGTTGGTTCTACCTTCTAGCTGTTCTTCAATCAGCCAGCTTCCTTCTGTCTTCTCTGCCGCCACCCTAGGCTAAGCTGCAAGCCTGTGGTCCCGACTTCTACAGCAGCCTCTTTACTGGTTTCCCTGCCATGTGTTTTGTCTTCCCTCCAACCAGTTCTCCATGTTGTATGTAGCCAGAGAGAGCTTTTAAAATTGCAAATCTAAGCTTGTCATTTCTCTTTATAAAACCTTTCAGGTGGCCAGGCGCGGTGGCTCACCCCTGTAATCCCAGCACTTTGGGCGGCTGAGGCAGGCAGATCACGAGGTCAAGAGATCGAAACCATCCTGGCCAACATCCTGAAACCCCGTCTCTACTGAAAATACAAAAATTAGCTGGGCGTGATGGCACACAGCTATAGTCCCAGCTACTCGGGAGCCTGAGGCAGGAGAATTGCTTGAATCCGGGATGCGAAGGTTGCAGTGAGCCAAGATCACGCCACTGCACTCCAACCTGCCAATAGAGCGAGACTCCGTCTCAAAAAAAAAAACCAAAACAAACCTTTCAGGTTTCCGGCTGTGTGCCCTGGCTCACACCTGTAATCCCAGCACTTTGGGAGGCTGAGGTGGCCGAATCACGAGGTCAGGAGATCAAAACCATCCTGGCCAACATGGTGAAACCCCGTCTCTACTAAAAATACAAAAAAATTAGCCATGCGTGGCAGCCCCAGCTACTCAGGAGGCTGAGGCAGGAGAATCATTTCATCCTGGGAGGCGGAAGTTGCAGTGAGCTGAGATTGCACCACCGCACTCCAGCCTGGGCAACAGAGCAAGACTGTGTCTCAAAAAACAAAACAGACAACAACAAAAAATAAGCTGTGGGCCGGGCACGGTGGCTCACACCTGTAATCCCAGCACTTTGGGAGGCTGAGACAGGTGAATCACCTGAGGTCAGGTGTTCAAGACCAGCCTGACCAATATGATGAAACCCCATTTCTACTAAAAATACAAAACTTAGGCCGGGTGCCGTAGCCCACGCCTGTAATCCCAGCACTTTGGGAGGCCAGGGCAGGTGAATCACCTGAGGTCAGGAGTTCAAGATCAGCCTGTCCAACATGGAGAAACCCCATCTCTACTAAAAATACAAAATTAGCCAGGCTTGGTGGCACATGCCTGTAATCCCAGCTACTCAGGAGGCGGAGGCAGGAGAATCACTTGAACCCAGGAGGTGGAGGTTGTAGTGAGCTGAGATTGTGCCACTGCACTCCAGCCTGGGCAACAAGAGTGGAACTCCATCTCAAAAAGAAAAAAAAAATTACAAAAATTAGCTGGGCACAGTGACATGCGCCTGTAATCCCAGCTACTCAGGAGGCTGAGACAGGAAAATTGCTTGAACCCGGGAGGTGGAGGTTGCAGTGAGCCGAGATCACGCCATTGCACTCCAGCCTGGGTAACAAGAGCGAAACTCCGTC